GGAAAATGAAGATGTACAGAATGGAGCAGGCGCACAGCTTCGGCCAGCAGGCAGAGTTGGCCTAGCCTGGGGATGGCACACAGAGTCGGATTCACAGACAACGTATTCGTAAGCTGGTGTATCCATGTATCTGTGCCTGTGTCTGCAATGTTGCAACTGCTGACACTTGGCCAAGTTGCAAGCACACATACGTGTCTCGCAGATATACACATATGCATGCACATAGTTTAGTGGCATCAGCCAGCGGCCTTTCCATTTCAAGTGTGACTCGTCTCGCAGCTCTGCTCTGTTCTAGCTCAGCTGGTTTTCGCATTTAGTAGATGCGTCCTGCAAGATATGAGCGAATCGTATCTAGAACTCGTTTTCCGTTGCTGATGTGTGTGATTGTGGTGTGCTGTGAGCTGCGCTGTTTCGGCATTTGCTGCTCGCCCAGTCATTTGCAACATGCACACCACCAACCAACGCAACGGATGTGTGTGTACGCATCTCTGTGTATGTATGTATGTGTGTGTGTGTGTGTGTGTGTGTTTGTCCATATGTGTACAAGCAGCAAGATACATTCTGCTGATTACACTTGCAGATACATTATAAAATTACTCGAAATCAACCAAGCGCACTGCATGGATGTGCAGTGTGTGTGWATGTATGTATGTACGGGTATTTAGTATCTGCGTTTGTTGTATTGTTCTGTTTTGCATTGTATTTATTGTATTGTGTTGTGGGTATTTACATTCATGTCATGGTTCAGCGCACTGAGCGCTGGCTCGAAAATATGTTTGAATGCTCTGGTTCTGAATTGCAAACTTAAATATAACCTATGTAGACAGATAATCAATTATTAATTTTTTTACTAAAATTTGTTGCTGCTAACACAAAATAAACAAAAATAGATTTGACATACATTTTGTAAACGTTGTTGTAGTATAAATTAAAGTCCAGCTCATCAAGCACATCTCGCACTTCACACACGTTATACGGCATACAATTAAACTACATCCACATGTAAAGCTATTCAAATTGCTGTCGGGCTGTTGCGAAATGGCTTCAAAATGTTATTTCAAGCTAAACCAAACTAATTGCTTTGTCAACTTTGCGTATGAATGCTTTGTGGATTAAATGCATGTCATTTAATGCCTGGCTCGTAACTAGTTTGTAGGCATCGAGTGCAGCCTCAGTAGCTGGCTGTGCGACGTCATGGGCCTACGTCATATGCGTGCCACGTTTTGCCGAGTTGCAACCTATGCGAGCTGGCGCAACTTGTTGGCCTGGCCAACACACAACCTATTCAGCCAGCTGCTGGCTGGCGATTGCTGGGCGCCTGCTCCAACTAGATACAATAGTAAAAGTGTGTTGGCTGCCTGAGTGAATGCTTGTCGTGAGTCGCGAGTGAGTGAGTGAGTGAGTGGATCTATATATGTGTGTGTGTTGTTTTTGTCTGTGTGTATGAGTAGTGCGAGTACCTTGGCATAACTGGTAATGCTCGTGCAATGTACGTGTGGCACGTAGCAATGCCGGCCGGCCGGCTTGTAATTTATGGTCATGCAAAAGAGCGACTCGCATAGATACAACAAGCTGCTGCTGCTGCTGCTGCTGCTGCTGGGCCGTGGGCCGTGTGCTGTGGACTCTGTGGGCTCTGGTTATGCGGGCGGTGGGCGGAGGGTGGCCGGCGGAGGCGTGGGTCTTTGTGGGCCGGCAGCACTTGGCTAAAAGTTTGCAATTCGCATTCGTTTTTATTGTCATCACGTCTTGTCCTCCTTTGGGTGCATTTTGCTTTTATTTTTTGCATTGTCGGCTATTGCACCGCTCTGTTGTCTACGAGCCACAGGCCCTCTCATACCTATTTCATATGCAATTTGCATGACTGTATTTTTGTTCTTGTCTTTTTTTTTTTGTGTCTCTCGTTTTGTTTTGTCTTCCTGTATTTTTCGCTCGTCGCTAGCTTTTGTCCCTGACAGATACAACTTTCTGACGCATGATTTGTTGAAAGGCCTTTCGTTTCTTATAAATAGGAAACAGAAACTGGGACAGTGTAGGTGCCCGCTTGCAAAAAGACAAAAAAAAAAAAAAAAAAAAAAAAAAAAATGCAT